TTAGGCTGGGTGTAACTCTTAGTTTCCTGTATGGTGGTGGTTTTATACACTTTTACCCATTAAGTGCTACTTTTAGAACTGTATTTCTGAAGAGCCAGGCTAAATTTTCCTCTGGTGCTGTAGCTGAAGGATCTGTATGTTAAAATGTTCTGGGCCTCTGCTTTCTCTCTTCTGTTTGTTTGAATGACAGTGACATGCTTGGTTTGATGTAGAGAAGAGTGGGTAACATATTTCCTACCATGTGTCCTACTGCATTGTGTAAACACTGAATCATATTCTACTGTACTTAATTAATGCACTACTGTCTGGGGCAATACACTGACTAGATTTACTGTTATTTTGGGTCGAATAAGGGAATAATCTCACTTGTGTCCAGATTGATGTGGTATAGGAGAACAGATTCAGGATCTCTGTTCTTGATTGCTTAATGTTCTAATCTCTTTGTTTTTTGATACTGCTTTGTCTTTACATCTCTAAATAAGTCTTTAATCTTCTATCACTGGTTTTGAGTCCTTGTTCAGGTAGTGCTTGGAGCAATGTAAGGTTTATTTCCTGTTCCATCTTGTGTTCCTGAAACAGATGAAGATTAATCCAGGGCAGAAGCATTAGCTAGGGGAGAAGGCAAGATGTAACGTAAGGTTATGTTTGTGGAACAGAGTGCCTCTGTTTGCAGGCTGTGTGTCATGTAGGGCAGAACAATCATTTAATACTGCAGTTCAGACCTCAATTACAGCCTGTGCAAGGCGGTGGTTGATGGTTCAGTGTTCTTGGCTTGGTACAGGTGCAATAGGGCATCTACTCAACGTGGATGCAAGAGTTCCTGCAAGAGAAAGGCATAGGTTAGAGGGAATCCTGCAGGCTGTCATCTGGAGCACCCATACCTGAGAGAGTCTTCAGTGCTCCTTCTCCCTTAGGTTATCATGGCTATGATCAGCATTAAAACGCTGAAGGAAAATATTTGTAATGGTTGTCCAAAATTTCTATCAATAACATAATAACAGAAACATAATACTGCTTCTCTGACACCTCTCAGTGTGAGTCTCTGAGCTTTCTAAGAGGGATAGGTATATTCTATGGCCAGTTAAAGAACCGTATACAAAACGGCCTTGCATAAATTTCAGGATCATCACTGTGTCCAGGAGGCTCCAGCAACTTGTGTCAGCTCAGGAGTGAATGTTTCACCAGCCACTTAAATTCCTAGTGGTGCCCTTGGCTGTCATGTCTTACAAATCTCTTTCACAACACAGTAACAGAACTTTTTTTCTGCCATTTTAACTGTCTGTGATCCCCAGGGACACAGGCTTTTTTTTCTTTTCAAATACAGGCTAAGAATATCATGATGGTCCTTGTGCTTCTTAATTGGGTGCATTAGCACAACCTGAGGGAAATCCTGTCTCCACAGAGCAGATTGTTGGCCCTTGCTATTACTGTGGTTCTTAACATTCTGTTGTTATCTACTTTCAGCTTGGTAGGTATCTTGTGAAATTAGCTCAATTTTTCTACCTTCATTCATAAGTGAAGCTTCTTCTTTGTCAGTAACTACAGATTAAAAAAAAAAAAAAAAAAGAATATTCTGGAATCCCTAACTCCTGCAATAGGTATGACAAAAATGCAGGCTAAAGAATAATCTACAGTTGCTGAATCTCTAGGTTTGTCACTCTTGATATCTAGTGCTGCTCCAACCAGATGTCCCGTGGAACTCTAATTGGTAATATTCAAATAAGAAGTTTGCTATTATTATGACCCTGGGCCAGACTGGTGTCTGGGCTACCCTCTTGCACCAACTGCAAGTCTCACACATGGTGAAACAATACTGGCAGTCGGTGTAAAAAGAACAGGCTTTAGTCTTGTTTCCAGTGCTCACTTGAATTTGTCTCATTTATCCTGCCCTGTCATCTTAAATTCTTTCCAATAAGATGTGACAACATAGCCTAAAATGTAAAAGGTCATAGTGTGTTTTTTTTAAGAGTATCAGTTTCCATCTCTTGGGAGGTTATTAATAAAATTAATAATAACCTTGAAAGAGGAGAGGGAGCACTTGTACGCTGAAAAGCAATTTATTTATTAAAAAAATACTACCGACATTTGTATGATCCAGGATAGGGTGGAAAAGGAGGTTCACGATGCACATTGTCCTTCTCTCTTATTTTTTCCTACTTTATTGTAACAGAGATTTATGTATCTGCTGTCATAACCACAAAGGGAAAAAATGGATTAGAGTGAGATATCACATGGCAGAAAATTAGTGTTCTTGCTGCACTTACTGCTGTACGCAGGCAGAACCTGTATGCAGAGTCGTGCCAAGTCTGGCTTCTCACCCAGGGGCTGATGTGTCACCGCGGCAGCACATGTCCATGCCACTCTTCGGCACACTCGGCAGTTAAACGTAAATCTTGGGATTTGATTACCACACATTGCCAAGAAGCTTAAACACATGCCATTCATAACTGCAAATAGGTTTTGGAAGTTTCTACTGTCAGGAACACTTGGGAGGGATATCTGTCTGGTAATCTGTTGGGTTTTATGATAATCAATTCTGATCATAATGGGTACTGTCTATTACTGCCTTGAAGCAGTGAACTGAAAGCATGCCCTATAAATGAATAAAAACCTACTTGGAAAGAATTCTTTTGTTCTCACATGGGTTAGCTGTCATCTCCTGAAATGTTATTAATTTCCTTTTGGAAATGGCTACAACAATCAAAGCTTGATATTCTCGCCAGCCATTTGGTTTGAATAAACAGCTGTATTGATTTACAGAGATGCTGGGCCTTGTGCCAGTTGTCTTTGCACTGCAGCTACGAGTATGAAAGGATCCCTGACACAGTGTGCCCTTGACTAAGCTGTATCTTGTCTGCTACATCCTACTGTATTCAGTTTCTTTCTGTATGTGAAAGCTGGCTGACTATTAAGGAATGTAACGATTTATGGTGTGAAAGCTGGAAGTGGCCAGCTAGCTCTTGGCTTGGTTCTTTTCATCCCAAACCCACATGTTTCTCAACCCCCCTGGGGATCCCAGCATTTCCTTCCAAGCTGTTTTAAGCATGATTCTGCTTCTCCATCTCTGCTTTTTCTATTTTAAAAAGAAAATGCCTAAAAAATGCCTTTATTGGAGACATTTCCTTCAAAAGACTAGACTAGAGCAGAAGATAAAATTAGAACGGAAGGCTCTGACCAAAGATTTAATACCTCTGTCCTTAAACAGGCTATTTCACCACTGAATGTAGTTACAGTTAAGGCAAAATAGGCTGTAAAATCTATTTAAGAAGCCAGCCGAATACATAAGACGCAGTCTTAAGCTAGCTCTGTACCTCCGTGCCAACAGTGCTACCAAGCTAGCTCAGATGTGTTTGTGGAAACTGATGCCATCGGAATGATGGCAGCATAGCCCAGGGGCGGTGACCTTTCAGTGCATCAAACGACATCCTAAGAAATGGCTTGATAAGTTCTAAGGCCCCTTAACACTTTAAAAAAGTCTGTGAGTGAATAAGTGAGCTGGGTTGGGACTTGGATGGGTATCAGAAAGGTCTGGCATGTGGGAGCTGCTGAGGAAGAAGTATATTTTAATTTCTTATGAGTCAGGAAGACTAAATGCAGAAAGTAGCATCTGTTGACTATAGTGATAACTTCCTCTTTAGGAAACAAGTAACCTAACTTGAGATAAATGCTGTGATGCAAATGGGATCTTAAATTAGGAATTCCATTAAATCCAAGCTGGCATATATTGAGGTAGGAAAGAGACAAATGAATCTTTATATTCTAGCAGGCTTATGATAAGCAGTAAGGTTTCATCTCAGATTGCTAAGTTTTGTGATTAGTTAGTTGATACTGCACTTGAAAATTTCCTTGTCTTACCCATCTGGACCTTGATTCTATCAAATGCTTCAGATGTGCAGGCCTGGTCATCTGCAGAACCTTGTGTAATCTCCAGAAATGACATTGTCTAAAGCAGCATCTCCCTTGCTGCTTCTGTCAGCTGATCCAGAACTTGATTTTGGAGGTAGACAATGCTCTTTGCTACTCTGCCAGTGGAAATCCAAGGTCTAGTTGACATGGTGATCTATTTTTAAGTTGCCTTACACCAAACTGTGATAGAAAAGGGAAGTGCTCTGGAAGCATCAAAGTTCTCTAGGATCTGAGTTAGCATTCCTTGGACTTGTAGTTCCAAATGTATCCATAGGGGAAAGAGGACAGAATGTGCCAGAGCAGTGACATAACCCTCATGCTACCCTTGCTTTTATATAGTTCATCTCACCTAGTTTTATTCTAGAAAACAGTGTAGAGATACCAAGTGCATGGAACAAGTCCTAGGCTGTCAGCTTTGCTGGGGCCTTTGCAGCTGGCTTCTCTTGGTAGAAACCCCAGCAGAAGAGCAGTAAAATCCTCCAGGCAGAAACTCTCCCTTGATCCTTTGATAGCTGTAAGTGACCAGTACAGCTTGTCTGCCCTTTCTACTAAGCGAATCTACTAAGCAGTAGAGAAAAAAGTCATCAGTTTTTGGATTCATTCAGGCTATGCTCAACTGACACAGAAAGCTATGTAGTGGGCCATCACATACACCATGTACTATGGGTGCATGGTATGCTGAACTGGATCTGCCCAGCATGCTGACAAATAATAAAATGTATTGGTGCCCTAGGGCAGGTTTTTGTGTTTGTCCAAGGGCCACCCAGCTGTTTGGAAAACAACAGGAAGATCATCACACACATTGTCACCATGACAAATATGAGAATAAATGAAAACGGTTCTTCTGTAATTTGTAGTATTTTCCATTTTACTTAGTGTCTCCTGCAAGGAAGTGCACAGGAGGGTGCAAATGCATGTTCTGTTTTGTGTTTGGCTTACTTTCTTTTCTGCTGCCTCCAGACCCATTGGTCTGGGGAGTACTGGTGAAAAGACTGATGTAAAAAGTGTGCCTCTTTGCTAACATGCTAAGCAATAGAAAAGTGATATGCTCCCAAGATGTAGTGTTGTGATTTCTGTTCCTTTTATTTTTGCAGAATTAACTGACACATCTCTGTGATGCTGTGATCCCTGAGTCCCTCTAGCAACCTATGAATTCTGTTTTGGAATGGAGTCTGAATGCTGAGAAGTCTTCAACATGAAGGTATGAGATATCTTTTCAATACAGTATTTGCTCATTTAGCCGAATTTTGTCACAGGCAGCAAATGTTATAAACTGATACTGATGAAAATCTTGATTACTGGTCCAAAAGATCTGGGCTTTCTAGCTTATCTCTTCAGAGAAAGATTTCATGTTTAGGTAAGCGGACAGCTAAGGAATCCCAACAGAGTAAATATGCCAAAAGATAAGTGATTATCCTCAAAGCCATGAATAGCTTCTAAGTTGACTTCAGTATGTCAAAGGGGGTAAGTACAGCATCATTTGCCACCACATTGATGTTTCTGTATTGCTGTCATTGAATTTAGAGAGATGTAATTAATAGGATAACAAGCAGCTAATTCATAGTTTTCCTAAGAATGAACAAACTAACCTTTTGTAGCTTTGAGACAAATTTGAACAGAAGCTTCTGTCAGAGCCGTTTAGATTAGATTTACAGATCTATCTAAATTCTCTCCCTCTCTTCTGACCCTGTATGTGTAGGAATAGGAGAGAATCTGGATTGTGGTCTTCACTTTAGAGTTTTCTTCCTGGCCTTAAGGCTTAAAAATGGAAAACAGTGCATTTAACAAGTTGACAGCAGCTGCGGACTGCTTGAGATGTTTCTATTTTTCAGTTCAGGATTCGTGTAATTACTGTTAATTGTTGTGCCATTAGTGTCCTCTGTTACATTTTGAGAAATGGAGAAATTATTTGGAAATGAAAAGTAGGCAATAAGCATTGAAAAATGTGGCCTGGATAAGCTGGTGGGATAAATGTAATTTTTGCTTTCTGCTTTGCATATAGATTTCATAAGGAAAGCGGCCAAGAGTCCCTGTGTATATGTTACATACTTCTAAAGGAGCTTTCCTGTTTGTCTGATACAGAGCACATTCCTTAGAACAGAACAAAGGGCCTATGGGGAGCTTATTGACACCTCTGACCCTTGCTGAGGTGTTACAGAGCAAGCTGAGGTCATTCTAGGGGTTGTGTTTTGATCCTCTGCTCCTTTAGGTCAGCGCTGAGTGGAGGGGATTAAGAGATTGTTTTTAGCAGTCTGTGCAAGGGGTCCACTACTGGGGATAGCCTTGAAAAGAATGTTTGTCATTCCCACTGCCTGCTGTGGGAAATTCATAGGATCGCTGCATCAAGTGCTGGGATTGCTAGAGAGTTTTAAGCCAGAAGGAGCCTCTGGCAAGATATATCTTTTTTTTTTATGTTTCTGCAGGAGATGCTGTTTTACAACATACTTATTTAAGATGTCTCATTCATAGAGAATTGCCATATTAGCCATATTTTTCAGGTGATTTCTTCTGTAATCTTAATCTTAAATTGCAAAAATTTTTTGCAAAAAATTTTAAGTGTTTTCTCCCAAGTCTTGCTCACTGTTCTTTTTGCCCACGTGAAATTTCATTTCTGTCCCTCTGGATCACAGTATTTAGAGGAACATTACTTGCCATATAAATCACTATCAGTTCCAAAACCTGCCTTAACTAACTGCTTGCCACAAGCACGTGCTTAAAAGTCACTTCATTCAACCTACTGGAGTTAAAACGTGATACCAAAGTGTGGTTTTGGCATGAGGAAAATCAATGCAAGGAAAACAGAAGATTCTCCTGGGGCACAGCTCTGAGCCTAGACTCTGGCATTGTTCACTGTGTATTGTCAGCAGGGTGCAAAACTCTGTTCTCTCTTGCTAAATTCAGCCTGTCCAATGCAAAGGACACACGCCCACAGTGTGATGCAATATAGCCCCAGGAAGTCTGTGCTCCTCCCAGTGTGTTAGCTGTAGTGAGAAACACAGTTTATAAGCTGGTGATTGCAGGACAATGCAAGTTTCTTGCTTCCAAGATCTGAACTGGATTATGTTTTGGTAAAACACCATTTCACACAGTTCATATCCAAAAGACACAAAGGGTAAAACCATTTAACAATTCTAACAGGATTTTAAATATGCACATTTCTATAGCGTCTGCTTTAGATGGAATACCCAGTTAGTTTGTACAGAGACTTCTGAGCCTGACGGTCTCCAGGTGCTTTCAGATGACTAGCAAAATCTTCCGTTGTTACATTCTGTCTGCTTTCTAACTTGTGCTCGACTTACCTGTTATGTCTCCCAGGGGTCTGTAGTACTGCAGTCAGTGTCAAAGCAAAGAATTTTCCTCGCATTTGCTCTGCAATAGACTTACACGCTCTAAGAGTAATGAGAAATCTTTTGAATTAATTCTGCAGGCTAACTTCAGTGTTTAAGGACAACAGTGGAGCAGAAAAAATTCTGGATCCCAAAAGAGAATTTTGCCCTTGAATATTTGATGAAATGCTCTCATTAGTTTTTCACTATATTGTAGCGTCATAATCTTACATATTATACTGCTCAAGCCATCAGTTACTAAAAGATGTTTGGCACAAAATCCCATTGATATTTCCAGAAATTAATTGTATTGCTTGAAAACATAGCCTCACTCTCAGAACAGCTAAAAGGAAACGTTTGTGTGTTTGGAAGACAAATTCGTTGGAGACCTTCTAATTTTCAGGCAGGAGGATCATTCTTGTCTTTCCATTGATAATTGTATTATAGAATGGATTTCTTTCAACGGGAATTTACCATAAGATAATCTAATTATGCATAATTTTGATTACCTTTTTTCTTTGGGAATAATCTAATTAAAGTCTCTCAAAAAATCTATCACCTCAAATATACCCTCTTACTGGTTTCTTAATCCTTTGTTAATGCTTCTTTCATCGGCTTCTCTTTCTTATCCTTGATGATTGTTCCAGAAAAATTATCTCAGACTGTATCATCCATCTTCCCATTGTGAAGGTCTATCAGTTTAAATATCTAATTCTGTTATTCTTTCCATATGTGTTCCAGAATGTACTGTATGCACAGTAATGCATTTGAAAGAATACTTGTGTTCAAAAAAATGCATTTTTAAGAACAAAGTTGAAAAGGTGTTTAAAAACCCAACAACTTATTAGAGGTCTATGCTGCTGCCCATCGCCACAGAATCTGAATATACTCCGTGTAGAATAGTTTGGCCATTGCAGAGTATCTGGCATTTGTTTGTTTGTTTTCTAGGGAGTATTCTCTCTCTTCTCTTCACATAATTACCAGTGGGAAATATAATTCGTATAATAAATTGGTAGCTAAAGCAGTTGAGGAATTACTGTATTGGGCTTATGCCTTAAAACAAACAAAAACAATTCATTGCATCCACTATCATGCCTTAGTCAAGGAACAGTGTTCTTTAACTGTTGCCTCTCTTCACATCTCTGACTAAACTTCTACTTTGCAGTTTGTTATTGCAAAAAAGCAAACAAACTAACAACAGTTGTCACATTATTTTGAACCTTGCAGGAGTGAAAGTTGTGAAGTATGGGATCATATTATTCTTTGTACTTGCATCTCAAATGGATGGATGGCACCACCTCCACAGGCTAGCAGTCCTATTTTTTTCCTTTCCTTCCTTATTATTTCAAAATTAAAACATAAAAAACTGTCTGCTGACCAGAGCTGTCAAATTCCGGTGCCAGAGAAATGAGCCTGGCCTGACTGGACTAATTAAGTTGGCCAAGGCACTGGAGGATAGCTCAAAGAGGAGTCTGAGTGCAAAAGGCAGGGAGTAACACCAACTTCTTATAAATGCACATCTTAAAGGAAACTGGCTGCTCCAATACACTTGGTTGAGTGAATGACACCACAAGCAGTCTACTAAGGGAGCAAGCAGTGCTGGAATTTAGTAAAACTGGGTTTTTAAAAGGCAGTACCTAAAGAACAGAAGGATTAATCAGCCCTCTCCCCACACCCCTTCCACACCAGCAATCAAGGTTGCTTTCACCTTAGCTTCTAACAAATGATACTTCTCATTTTTGAAACCTTTTTTGCAAGACTGTTAAAGGGAATATTGGACCATCCTAGCAGGAGTGCCCTGCACAAATTCCCATCAGGGATAGATGTACATGCTAATAATGCCTTCTTCCACTTACAAGCAATTGATCTATACTGCTATGGCTCTGTAGTTTTTAATGTTGCTGCTGATTTTGTGTGCTTTGTTGCTTATTCTCCGCTTTTAATGTTTTTTTTCCTTTGTTTGTTTGTTTTTTACAGAAACAACGGCAGTACTAGCAGCGGTTGGAAAATGTCAGCTTGACAGCAAATATGAAGCTGAAATTCCCATGTCTTCCTTCCTTGATGTGCCATTACTGGGGGCGCTAAGATACTACAAGAGATACTGGATGTGATAAGCAGAAGTCTAAGCTACCTGCTCCTTTTTGCAAGTGCTGATAACTCCTGTCTTTTGACTGAAGTACAGTGTGAGTAACTGTATTCTTCCTACCTAAAATTCATCTACAGTTTCAACTGAACGTGTTCTTCATAGCCGCAGTTACCCTGTGCGGTCTACGAGTTACCAAATGACAAGTGCCCACTCGTCCGTTCTTATGCTGTTTCAGATGACCAACAGTCTTGGAGGAAGAGGGTTTCAGGGGTGAGGAGAGAGGGAAACTTTGTTCCTGGAAATTTAGTCTGTAGGGCTGTTCTGCACAGCTCTTAATAGAGCCCAAGACACATCTTCACTGCAGTGAGAAAAAAATACAGTGATTGTCACGTGATCAGTTGTCATGAGAAAAGAAAGTTACTTGACCTAGGGTCTCATCAGAATTCATCATACAGCAGTTTTATTGTTTTTTGTTTCTTTGTTTTGGTTTGGTTTTTGTGTGTGTGTGTTTTTTTGTTCCTCCTGCTTGAGCTTTGTACTCTCAAGTCCTTGCAAAGACAAGTTTGGTTTTTTTCTTCACTACATCAAAAATGTTTATTTTCCATTTTAAGATGATTCTTTTTTCTATATCTGGCTGGTGTCTTCATCTAAATAAAGAAGTCAGGAAAGCAAGGTAGGGAATAAATAGTGCCTCTAGGAAGAGATGTTCAAGCAATTGTATCACTGTTTTCATATTTGGGAGACCAGAGTGTAAGTCCATTATCTCAGGAGCATTCATATAGTAGGTAGGTGTTTTCACCTTTCTGCACTTCAGCTCCTCAGTTCTGCAGTAAGGCTAATAGTAACATGTAGCAAGGCAGTGCTGTAGTGTATACCAGCTCACTGTGGTTTGAGTATATCCATTGGGTGGGAATATTTGTAGCCCTGGTGCTTCATCAGTATTGCTTTAGGGCATTGGACTGTGGTTCTAGCAAAAGCTATGCCACTTCACTCAATGAACTCTCAGCTGTTGAGAGGGGGAGACCAAAGCCATTGCTTTGGTAGTTTTTTCAACAGACTAATGAAGGAGTTAGTGAGTATTTTGCACAGAGTGGTGGGGTGTTCTTGTTTGTTTATTTTTGCTTGTTATTCCCCCTCCTCCACAAAAAATACTAGAGATCACTTGCATGCATATGCACAGTGGGAGAGGATGCCCAACTGAGATGCAAGCACAAATGAAAAAACTTGCAAAGTTCAAAACTGACACAATCCCAAGGTCTTCCTACTAGGAAAAAAAAAGAAAAAAAAAAAGTTCCTTTATTTTTTCCTTAACTGAAGAAAAGATATGCTTCATCTTCCTTTTTAAAAGTGCATGCGTTTAAATCAGTACTCCGATTATGGGGAAGGAAGAGAGGGGTATTCCAGTTCCCAAAGCCTGTTTTTAATCATCAGATTACTTTTGAGACAATCTCTGTACATTCAGCACTTGTGGTCAGTTCTCACCACCAAAAAGCTAGTGGTTTTTGCAGACATTCCATAAACACAGGAAGCTTTGACTGTGTCTCTAACAGATAGGGAGACAGAAAAGCAAAATACCCACAATATAAAGGCAAAATCTAAACCTGACATGCGAGCTCAGAACAATGACTTATGTAGTCCAGAAGTCTATCTCTCATAGTCTGAGCCAGATGTTTCGAAAAGAATGCCGAAAATCTGTGAAGTACAATTCTGACATAACCTGCCTATGGTTTAGATTTCTTTTTAATTGCTGACTTCCTCCCTGAACCATGGAGCTTTATATTCTGTTTTAGTCTTTGTTTTGCATTTGTTTCTTGGAAGGAGGGAAAGGGGCAATGTAGAAGGCTGCAAATGTGCTGTGCAAAATTCCCTTGGTGTTTTGGATGCCTGATGATCTCATAGCCATTCGGTCCTAATTTGTATCTGCAGAAGTCTTAGCCTTAATTATACCTGCAGCAGTACTTTCATGGATTAAACATATTTCATCCAAGATTTCTGTTCATCCATTCTAGGAATTCTGTCCACCAACTCCCTATGGAATGTCTCATTTTTCTTTTAACATGGGAATAGCCAAAAAGAAATTCATGTCTTTTTCCTGCAGCATTTATTGTTTTTGTAGAGTCTAATTGTTGTTAATCTCCTTTCTAAAATAAGCATTTATGTTCCTTTCATCTATGCCTTTTTTCAAAGAGAAGTCTTTCCTTCAGCCAGTTCCCTCACTAGTCTCCCTCCTCAACTTTGCTTTTGCCTACTTGCTGCCTAGAACTGAAGCCAGTAACACAGGCGAAGGTAGTCCTTTCACTTTAGAATAGCATTTTAATTTTATAATTATTTTTTTCCACTTGAGTGTTAACCTTTTTGACCTTATCAGCTGAATGAATAGAGACTTAACAGAGCTGCCTGCAATTAGCTCACCTCTTGCTCATGAGCAGTTATACTTAGTTATGAATAACTGAAATTCAGAACATTCTTTGCAAGGTACATTACTTCACTCTAAAAAGTAAAGAATTTGCTGGATGTTAATGTGCCCATTTTACTCATTTCTACACAGTTAAAATTACAGGAGAGAGCATGTAACTGGTAAATCCCTCTCAATTTCTGATGATTTTTATGAATATAATCACTGCTGAAGTAGCTGAATCTAAGAGCTTTTAATCATACACTTCAAATTTAGGATTATGAATCACAATAATTTTACAATAAATTAATTAGAACCAATATTCTTTTGACATGCTTCCTCATTTTTGAATACAATTTTTTAAAACCTGTGGTTTAATATGATATCTTACTTCACAATCAAACTGAAATACAGTGTCATCATCATCAGTTTGTTTGTCAACAGGAACTCCATTCCAGAATTTCTTGTTCGGACGGAGGAAAAAACAAACAAACAAAGCGACAAATTGGACCCAAGAATACAGATTCTGAAAGTTTCTGCAAATTGAAAAAAAAAATAAATAAAAAAAAAAAATAAACAGTGAGGTTTTTACATGATACTGTAAAATATTGATAGTCTTAAAATAGCAATCCAAAACAAGAAGACAACAGTTTCACTCAAACATTTAAAAATAAGTATTTTGGTAGAAATAAATATATCCCTGCAAAACTTTCAGATGTTAATCTTGCAGTAAACTGCCAAAAGTTTCAGTTACAACTCCACCAAGAGAGGGGTGCTTAATTTTCTTTTTCTTTCTGTCTTTCTGTCTGTCTTTCTGTCTGTCTGTCTGTCTTCTAAAAAAAAGTCCTAACTGCTGTCTGCTAACAAAAATCAAGTAGCATACATTCTATGGCACTATACAGTTAGGAATTATAAGATCTAAGCAATTGCATCTCTAATCCTAATTGCATCATCTATTGCTTATGTTCATAAAAATCAGGGTGTTGTTTTTGGGGTCCTGCTGGAAATAATTTAACATAATTTGGTCAAACTGTCCATTGAAATTTCAGCCAGTTTCCACTCAAAATCTTCCTTCAGTGTATCCTTGCCTGGTCCTGGTCCTGCTTCCTCTTATCAGTTTAGCCAGAAATCTGGAAATTCCTACCCCCATGAGTAATGCACAAGGCTGTAATTTCTCTCTGCATCTCCTCCTCCTATGGGTCTGCTTTGAAAGGAGCTAATAATTAAAAGGAAAAGACTCTTGGCCCTTGTCATGGTTTTATTAAACTTGCTTACGTGGTGGTTTTAATTAATGCTGTGTTCTCATTATTCTGTTTCTAATCTTATGGCACATACAATATGTAAGTAAAGAAATACCTTGTTTTACCAACTGGTGTTGGTAAAAAATAAAAAATAAAAAAAAAAATCAATAATAACAACAAACCAAATAGAAGGTAAGTTGCTGTACGTTAAAGCAGTTCTAGTGATGTACAACAAAACCTCATCTAAAAAGATCTCTGATACAGCTGTTTCCAAGGGAATTATCAGCAAGCTTGGAAAATTCCATGATAATAATCAAATGTCATCTTTTCCTACCAGCTATAGGCTAAAATTAACTTCTGTTGTTTTGCTTTTTTGTTTGTGTTGTTAGTCTGTTTTTAATTAAAAGTTTGTAGTGCCTTTATGTAGGTCCTTTATTCTGCTGAAATGTTTTCAGCAGTATTCTTGGCTAATTCATACACAGCAAGCTTCTATAGGAGATATAGTCACTATCTGTAAATGCAGGATGCTGAATTAGCTCATGAACAGATTTTCAAAGGCAGAAATAGAGCAGTGAGGCCCCTTTTCCCAGCAGCTGGCTCCCAGTGGAATAAGATGTCTCTGTGTCACCAGTGTCTCTGAATCCACAAGGGCTTCAGCAAGTCCTGTTTTGTTGTTTTGGTTGGTTGGATTTTGCATTGTACTGATGAAGAGCTTGTGAGTTCCCTGGGCAGTGGTAACCCATGTTGGTGTTACAGACACTGGCTCCTATTCTTGAAAATTAATGTAGTGGGGATTGATTTCTTTTTAAACATTGGCACAATAATTTGGCATAGATAATTAAATACAAGATCTTAGCAACTTTGTGGAAGTAAAGGACCAACATGAATAACTTTTACAACAGCTGTCAACGTTTCTATGCTGTTTTTAAGGGATTAGTATGCAACCACAAAAATTTGTTCCAGGCAGAAACTTGGCATTAAAATATGCAGTCCAGGAATTTTTTTCCTTGAATTTGAATTTAATCACGTTGGCCATTTTTAAGTAGGAAAAAACTTTTTTTTTTTTTTTTTGAAAGATAGGGATTCCTGACATAGTTTTGGTTTCCAAGTGAATATTTAGGGAACTGACAGGGGCCACAGGACCTTCCTCCAATGTTGCCCCTATAGGGCCTCTCTTCGACAAGCCTATTATGTTATGTTTTTCCACTTTATCAAAGCCTGTGACAGGGACAGATAAAAGCATAGCTATATGCTTATTCTTCTTCATTTTTCTCTTTCATTCAATTAGGCATTCACAAAAGCCTGATGATGCATGTTGACTTTTGATAGCAGTTAAGGTTTTCTCTGAGAACTTCTGGAAAATTTCATCCTAGTTATGTGTTCTGTCCACAGTGAGTGCTTTCTATACCCACATGTAATATAAATTAAGCGCTCCATGACATACTGAAAGCCATTTTTTCCCTGCAGTCATTGTAACTCTCTTCCAACAGATAGATTTTCAGCTATTTCTGCAATAAATGGCCTGTTGTGAAGACAGTAGTAGCAGAAGTTTCTCTAGTCCCAGTGCTCTTTCAGTCATGTTTCTACTGCCAAATTTCTGCTGGTCTGGGAAAGAAATACTTAGCTTCTACATGGCTGTTACCTCATGACGTCAACAATTAAACGGTGATCAGGGAACTCAGGAAGAGAGAGAGAGAATGTTTAGAATATTAAGAATTAGAACATTAAGAAAATATGTTTTTCATTTAGTGAGAGATTAAGAAAAAGTTAGGAAATTTTCTTAGTTCAAAATTAAGGAAAACATTGAGGCTTAAGAAAAGGATCTGTAGAAAATGCAGCAGCTGTGGCCCCAATGGAGTATTCCCTGAATTTTGTGAGCTGCAAGATGTGCTGGCAGAGAAAATCACTCAGTGAGTGACTTGTTCATTTTTCTTTTTATCTAAGGTGTCTAGTTTTGCTTTAAAAATAAGCCGTGTAGATGTGATACTGAATTCCAGTACCAAATAACATAAACCCTGAGATTTTTCTAAGTTCAGACAAATGTGCTGTGAGGCTAACAAAGAATCCACTGTTCTCAATCTGAGTTTTGTTTTGTACATTACCTGTGAACCAGTATTAGGTCTGCTACTATGGTATGTGTGATGCAATATGACGTCCTGTTGCCCTAAGATCTAAGAAAACGAATGCACTGAGAGGTGGGTGCTCATATTTGAATCATGAGAAAGAGCAGTACCGTAGTACGTGTTTTACTGAGACCAAGCATGAATAGGATTGCTTTGCCTGAGACTGCGTGGGTCAGCCTTTGGCAAAGCTGGTCAGAGTCTGGCCTGGTAGTCTAATACCTTGGTAGTCCAAGTCTGTCTTGCTGATCAGAGCAATAGAATTAATTATTTTTTTTCTACAAATATTTAACAACCAGTTAAAACGATGTTTGAATTGTGCTTTAGAAGGCCCTTTTAAAGTCCTCATGAGTTTGCTCAGGAAACATAACTGCTTTGTTGGCTGAATGATGTTGAGCTGCCCTTCTGCCTCAGCACACATGCTCTGTTAGTAAATACAATTTGCACGTGTTAGAAGTCCCGTGTGTTATGTGTTCTACAGCAGGGAAGATAGAAGAAATTTCAAGTTACATATAGTATTTGTTTAGCCTTGCAAAGATTTAGACAAATTGAGATGTTTTACTAAAACCTGTAAATGCTATACTAACATATAGAACCTCCAGGCAGCAGCGCTGCATTTCTCAGGTCTGTGATATACCACAAGCCCCACACTGACTTCAGCTACAGGTGCCACAGGCAAGGTCTGACACTCTGGAGCAAGATGTAAAGCTTCAAAGGCAGCAACATTTGAGTTAAACAGCAGTTAGTGAGGAATCCTTGATATTTAACATAATACATGTATACATGTTGGTAGTTGCCCCCTGTTGCTCCATCTGTGCCCTCCCCCCCCTCCCCCTCCACTAGGTGGGGAGGGAGGAAGTAGAGAAACTGGTGAGCAGAGGTGAAAGGTGAGGGACAAATGTCAAGCTCTGAAATTTTACCCTCTGGGCAGATCTGTGCAAAGGAGTGCCTATGTGCTGCCACGAGAATTCAGCTGTTGTTAAGGCTTCCTGTCCAGAACATGAGCTTCAGGTTGGGGTTATGAGAATGGCAAGGTAGTTTTTCACTGACAAAATAGTTTATATAAATGCATGAGAAGGGATAAGGGTTTCATCAGTAAAACAGCAGCAAATTTGTTCTTGTTTATAAGCAATCTGGGGGGAACGCAAGGAGGTACATTAATCTTTGGTCCTCCTAATATCTGTCACTTCCCATGTCTGCATGTTTATAACACTATACGCCAGTCAGATTCTCACCATATGTTTGGACATGCTGTCTGTGCCAGTCTCTTCTGCAGAAGATTCTGTTCTGTAGTATGTGGGTCTCCAGGAGTTGAAGATAAACATCTGTTGTAAGGTAATGAAGAAAATCAAGTACCATAGACTAAAATGAACTTTACAGGCATGACTCCTTAGTTGGAATAATTCTGCGTGTATTCTAATTGAAAATCATTGACCCATCAGATTGCAGAGGCAGTTATCCAGACTACTTAGGGCAAAGCTCCATGAGATGCCTTAGCTGATACAACTCAGTGCAGCCAAAAGGGGTGGCTCCACTGTTGGCCATTTGTTCCCTTGTGCCAGATCAGGGCCTTATCTGACCACTTTGTGAGCTGATTCAGATCACTGAACTGGAAAAGAGCAAAAAACAACAACAAAAAACTACTGATTTGTTTTAAGTTATTGGGTTATTTTGTGCAGATTTAGTGAGCCAGGTTCAGCTCACCAAAGGTTATACAAGCATTAAATCTGATTCTAAGGAAGGAATACTATCCTACTGCCTGGGTCAGACCTGCCTCTTTCAATGACAGGGAGCTACAAAATGTGCTCGAAAATACCATACAACTTCACCTTCAACAACACATCAGATTCTAAAGACCTTTCTAAATTCTTCTTTTTACTTGTATGCATGCTTGTGAAAATCATATTTCTAGTACTTTTCTCATCTTGTTTTGTATTTTTAAAGCAGTTGGACTGATTTTGTAGGTTTTATTGGTTCTTGCCCATTTATCTGCTGAATTTATTCTTTTGCAGGAAAGTCATGCATTCCAGGTTTGTCGTCTTCTGTAGCTTCTCAGATAAAGAGGTGTTGTGGCAGGACAAGAAATCAGTATGGATACTGGGTAAAAGAAACATGAGAATAGGAGGATACTTGCTAGCAAATTCTTAATGGAGAATAAAAATAATATATTTTTTTAAAAAAGCAGGACTCTGAGATGTTCCTTTCCCAAGTGCACTGTCTGGTCTCTGCCTCCATCCAGCAACAGGTTAGGGACTTCATGAACCATGTTTGCATCTAACCAATCAAATTTAACAGTCTTCAGTAGGTTAATAGTCTATGTATTCATGTAATTTTGTAACAGTTTTTTGAACTTATCTATACTGCTGGCCTCCATATTTATACTGCATGGCCCCCGTGGCAAGCATTTCCTTTTGCTTTAAGGCTGATAATTCTGGTTGGGTGCTAATTCTAGTTAGTGAGTTTGTATTAAAGCGTGTGCTTAAAGTTAAGCAAGCTCTGAAATACTTGGCTGAATTGGGTCCTTAGAACTTTCATCATCACCAGCTGTAATATCTTGAAGACAATACTGTTAAAGGAATTGGTGCGATTCCCTGTGTCTTTTAGTTCCAGTGATTTTAATAATTGCTTCATGTTGATGTTTTTAATTTGTTAGAAAAATTTTCTCCAATAAGCCCCTCTTCCCTTCATACTGATGCTAAGATGTGCTGCATAGACTGCTTGAAATAATTATGACATTAATCATTATTTCTGGAATCCAGTCTATGAAGACAGTTAAATTTCTCTTTAGTTTACAGTATTTGTTTAAATTTAAGCATGAGATTGAAAGCTCTGGTGGAAGTCAGTGTTTTCTTTTATGAATAAATTACTTGTTTAGGGAAAAAAATGCGTTCCCCCACCCAACCATTTTGTTAGAATCCTCAAGAGCTTAAG